GGTGGTTGCGTCTCGATAGCTATAAGGGTGCGGGAGATATGAGGCTGAAAGTGGTTGAAAGTGGCTTTCTATTTCGAATGTTTTGTTCGAATTTGTTCGAATTTGTTCAAATTAAATTCGAACATAAAATTCGAATATTGGTTCGATTATAGAACGATTGTAAACGTTCCAGAAACGTTGAAAATAGTTCGTTTGACTGGACGTAAAAATTCTCTAATTAGTCTGGAAACGGGGGACCTAATTCTAGCATTCTGTGAAAACGGGTAAGATTGGCTATAATGTAATTATCTTAATCTTCACTATCGTTACTTTTTGCCCACAAATAAAAACCCAGCGAAGCGGGTCCTTGTAGCTAGTTAAAAAAATAAAAATTAATCTCGAAATTTTAGGTCATATTAAATATAACTTTTTGTCGTTTATTCGGAAGTGTGGCTCTGTAATTTTTTAAAAAAAGGCATGACAGTTCCTTTTTCTGAAATTGTTCTTAATCTATATTCAGAAATCGAGTTAAATATTAGTTTCGTACACGTTTTCTATATATTTGTCATGTTTTCCGTCTGAATCATAGCCGCAGCTATTTTAGTGATCAGATGTGACTCTTATACAGAAAATTCTGCTCTGCTCCCCAACCGTATTACTTTTGCCAGTGGCATAGGCGTTTTAGAGCATTTTACCACCGTTTGTGCTGTCCCTAAATTATGTAATGCAGATATGGGCGTGTAGTTTGCTGATAATCGTTACGATGGTGGATAGTGAAAGGATAATGAAGTTTTAAAAAGTTGAGTAATGCTAGGCAGCTACCATCTAGAGTCATTAAATGGACTAGTATTGTTTGCTAAATTTGTAGGGATTAAGCTATTGATAATTTTCTCACCCAATAGCTTTAAATTGTCAGATTTGTTATAACTTTTGTTGTCTAATTCTCCAAAACCTAACACGAAAGTAAAAAGTATGATACACTCACAGATGCTATTTTCAAACCTTGGATAACAGAGAGATTGAGTTTTGTTCCTGAAGTGTTGCATAGCGAACCGTAATGGTTGTCACTACTTTGAACGTTATACACGTAATTAATAAATAATGTAACTTTTGGTACTATGTGTCGTATATTATTCCTTAGTAAGCAACAAGTAAGGTCAAGGAAGTATGTAATGTAATTTTATAGGAGGGTATGAGCGAAGGCATTACGGAGCGTTACAGGAGTGATGGTAGTTAAGAATACAAAAATTAAAGAAAAAAGGGATGATTTAATGATTTAAGAAACCATCGGTAATTGTATAGCTGTGCACAGCATAACCTAGGAGCACTCAATAAAACAAATTTCATTAATAGTACTATTTTACTTACACTAATTTATTTCTACTTCTCGTTTCAATATTAGAGTCACAGACTGTTTTGCCGTTTACAGGATTATGCGTATTGCACGCTATAAATGTAAATATAATTTTCTATTAGAGTTTTATGTAAATTCAAATAAACCAATTATTAATTATTACAGTTAAAACTAAAATTTTAATATATTTNATTCGGTATAAGTCCAAACATCGGGAACGGATTAAGGTCGTATACCGAGGTTCCACTGTATTTGGATTCGGCTTCCTGATGTAACGTCTCTTTCCTCGTAAGGCTACAAAATTAGATGGTATTTGGAAAGTAATTCAACAGAAGTGGTCATAGATATCAGTCAAAACTTGTTCTCCATCTCATGCTGTGAGCAAATGAGATGAACAACATATCGAGCAGACAAAAACAATTCATCGACAGGTGCTTCGTGAAAGAAACTAAGGGAAAAGTGAGTCACAATTAGCAAATCACCCTATGTAACCCGACGAACTTTTTTACAAAATGTTTAACAAATTAGAGACTTTCTTTGTTTTATAATGTTTTTGCTTCTTCTTAATTTAAAGAAAGTATTGTATGATTATATTAAATTTGTAAGGTGAAGCAACGATTAGGATGAAATAAAATCAGCATATTTTCATATATAACAAACAATATAAATAATGCTAAAAAATATGCATTCGGTTCCATTCTATATCCTATTCCGTTGTTTATATCTGGTTCCCAGTATAGTTTTCTTTTAGTTTATATAAGAGGTTTTGCAGTTTAAATATTGTTTTTGTTAAAATATCAAACACAGTTGACTAAAAATATATTCCAAAATTGTTGAATATTATTATAAAACACATATTATTAAATAAAATAATTTTTCTTAAGATAATCTGTCGTACCTGAAGGAACACAATCGCCAAATACAACTTTTGGATTGATTCGTGAGCATATTTTATCTGATACTGTTGCACCACTTTCCAATTGGTATCCTTCATTACAAGTAGCTCGACAGAAACTGAAATAATAAATATTATGTTTTAAATAATTCATGACATTTTGAAAAGTATTTAATATTATATACCTATAGTATATAAATAAATATGTTATATGATCTTAAGCTTATATGTATGAAATAGTAACATAATAAGAATATACAAAAATATAATTTTCTTATTAAATTCTTATATGTTTATGGTCAAATCAAATTATAAATATATAAGTATTTAATTAAAAAATAATTTCAAGTAATGCTTACGTGAAATGCTCGTGAATTTCACATTTCATTGATTGCTTTTTTCCTTCTTTTTTTGTTTTACATACGTTTTCTAACAATCAATAGAATAAATATTAATCTATATATTGTTCATTGTTTAAATTATAAAAATATATAACATATATGACTTAATTATAATGTTTTAATTAAATTAAAAGAGTTAAAGATATAAATTTGTGTCATCCAAATTACATTTAAAAAAATCATACCACAGTCAGGAAAATAGTTCGTCTCTCCTGTTTCTGTGCATATTCTCGTAGCCGTTCTTGTGCCATCTTTGAACAGGTATCCGAGATTACAAGTAGCATTGCACTCTCTTCAATAATAAATATTTTAAAAATATGTTTTAAAAATAATTTGTTATATTAATATNGAAGAGGAATAAAAAAAAACATAGAAAAGAAGAGTATAATAAGTTACTATTTCAAAATGCATGAATGTAATTATCTAAAAATAATGATTAATTTTCCATAAGTTAACTAAGCAATATATTTTTGAGAGTTTATACAATTTAAAAATGAATATATTGGATCAAACTATCGATTTTGAACATTAATTTTTAATTCATTTATGCTAAGGCATTATTAAGAAGTATGAAAATATCTTTTATCATGCTCAAAATGACTAGTTACTGATATTAAATTAAAATTCACATTTTCAGTTCTTTAAAGTAAAACTTATTTTGATATATTACTTACTTGTACGTTTCATGATCACAGATTATCTCTTGGTGTTTTCCTTTTACAATATCACATTCTATCTTTTCTAAGTATTAACAAAAGAAATATTTTATATTATTTTGCTATGAAAATATAATATATAATTTATTTAAAATCATTTATTTATACTCATTATTGAAAAAATAAAAGATAACTATAAAAACAATATAGCAGAAAAGAAATTGATATTTTAAAATAAAGTAAGAAATGTATGATAGACAAGGAAGTGACTGATGCAGATTAAGACAAAGATATGAAGGCAACTCACTCTTAAAATTATATAAAGAAAATGTAGCAGAATTCAAAGAATGAGACATATTTACTCGATATTATGCATTTTTGGGGAATTTGATCACTCAATGTCCATTCTTCTGTAATCTCATCATAACTGCATTGAAATTTTTTCTTCTGTTTATAATCAGGAAAATAATAACCTGTATTACACCGCATTTCACAAGATCTGCAAAGGCGATTTCAAATTTTTTCATTTATTATAATTAGAGAAGATTCGAAATACAAAAACGTGTAAAAATTCGAACTTTTAAATAGATTTTAATTGATATTAAATGAATATCAATTAATTAACACATTCATTATTAAGTAATACAATAACATGTGTATTAAATTATTCAAAACTTTAGAAAAACAAGTTTTCAAATAAAGCGAAAAATAATAATATTATTGAATTTCCACAAAATATAAACTCATATTTATTGAATGTTTTCAATTATAAGAAAATCATCTCATAAATATGTGAAAAATGTGTGATTTTTTCAACAAAAGTTTTAAAAAATGTATTAATAATTTTTGTGAAATTAAAAACTAATAGAGGATAAGTTTAAAGGCATCAATTAGTCTATCACGTCAATAATTGATGCGATATCACATCAATTAATGATAGTCTAGACTAGTGGTTTCCAATATGGGTTGTAGACTTATTTCAATAGGCGCTTAAAAAACAAATAGCGAAACACACAGCTATTACTCTGCAAATGTCACTTCATTTTACACAGCTCACAGTTTCAGCAAACAAATAAGTTTATTTTGTTCTTAATTGGTTCAATTATTAAAGCCCAGTTCAGAATATATAATTTTCACAAACAATCCACAAATGTACTCAATGTCTATCGTAATCTTTCCCTTTCATATCCAGTTCCTAGCTGCCCAGAGTTCTTCCCTTTTTCCTTTCACCACCTAATCGTCTTTCCCTTCCCACATTCCTTTTCTCGTTTAACTGTTGTCATCTCCCAAATTTATCAAGCGTTCCTCTTCCCGTATTATCTCTCTATCTATTTTTATTTATTTTTTTATTTTAAACGAAACTTTAAAACTTCAAATTAAATTTAAGGAAATCAGAAGTGTTGACAATTTATAAAACAATAATCCGTTACAGCGCTAAGAGGCGAATGGACAGCAGAGTCGCTGGAAATGAGCTTTTCCAAGCTGGTTTTATTATTTATAATTGATCATTGGCAATTACTTCAATTACGTGCTATTTGCATAGCATGAACGTCGATTGTAAAGGCACATTTAATAATTTAGATGCTAAAAAGTTACTTTCCCCCGACATCATACTGGTGGTCATACATTTCTTGAAAATAGAGAAAGACGTTTAATGGAAAAACTTTTAAAAGTTTCTCTGGAACAGTATTATATTGAATATGTCACATGAACTCAAAGCAATTGTTCAGGATTAATAATGAACTATGTTAAAATGTAAACGTGCTAACCGAAAGTGCATTTTAATCAAAGATCAACTATTGATTAAAATTGAATTGATAGGGTTTTAATAAATTAGAGGGCTTATCACATCAATGCAGACTGGAATAAATAGATTAGATTTTTACAAAACATAGCTTTAATAACCACAATCAAATTGTTGTAAAAATCTAGTCTATTTATTACAGTCTGCTCTGATGTGATAAGCCCACCAATTTATTAAAACCCTATCTATTAGGATAACTAATTCTATCTTAATTAAGTCATGGTTTAGAAGCGTTATTTATTATTATTAAAGATTAGCTATATTTAATAGAATATACTTTTAGTGCAGTTTTACTTACCTGCATACAAATAAATTAATTCCATATTATTTATTGAGTATAGTGTTTTTGAGCAAACACTGTACGTTGAGCTGCGCTTGGTGCAGTTCAAAGAACTTGAACAGAAAACAATGAGTATTTTCACTGATTGCCATAGTAAGAAGCAGGTTACATATAGTGCCACTTCAGACTTTAGAGGCCTCCACGTGATCAGAATAATATTAATAAGAGAAATAAGCGAGGATAGGACCTTTCCGCGAATTTTAACTTATTTTTGTTTATTTCTTTTGCCTTAAATAAAATATATTATATTTCGTAATAAGTATATGTAGTCTTTTTAAATACGAAAACCATTTTCCTGCCATTTTTACTTTACCGACAGTTATATAGAACAGGGGAAAAGTATGGCAATTAGTCAAAAAATGATCTCCTCCCCAAGGTTTTACATTTTTCGACTCAGCGGACCTTGAAGCGTCGAGAAATGCAAAAACATTCGGCTTTTCCCCCTCCCTGTATGTATGGATGTTTGTCTGTGGCACGATTTTGTTCGCCCTGTTTGAAGCTTAATAACTCCTGTGCTTTTTGTCGAAAATTTTTCTAAAATTTTGCAGGGAGGTTTGTGTATTAGAGGATTGATGCTATTAAATAAAAAGTGGTTAAAGGTCGAGGGGATGGAGAGATAAAGAGGGTCGTGTGTATCTCCAGTAAAGTCGGACTTCATGACGATTTTATTAATATTTACAATTTTTTTTATAAAACCCATCCTTATACTCAAAATTAAGCTTTTTGCTATTTTATAATTGTTAAAAATATAAAAAGTTTGTTACTAAAATAACATAACACATGGCGCCATCAAATGTTGCCGAGAAAGTTAAGCAACTTGTTGCCAGATTTTTTTAAAATATTGTTTTAATAAAATGAAATGTAATAGAAGTGAAGTTAATGTTACAATTAGAGTTCGGGAAAACTCTGCTCTGGGCTGAGATGTTGACAGGTGAGCTGACAACTAAGCTCACCTGTTTTGAATTTGAATAAAAACTTATAACTGTGGTGAAGTGTGTTGCAGCAAAATCCATTTTTGAAATTAAATTGCATCTTTAAAAATAATGGATACACAGTATATATATTTTCGTTTCTCTGCTATTAAAATGAGAGCATTCAAATAAAAACTAGGCTACTTGAGCATTAAGCAACTAAACTATAAACAGTTTTTAGATTAGAATTATTAAATGTAATAATGAGTAGTCTAATATTTTAAAATGATACAAATAACAACAATGATTTCTACCAAAGCATGTACGCGGAAAAGTTATACCGTGGCGATACTAGTTTATAGCATCATCAGAAACTGAAATAAATTCCTGTAATATGAAGAAATTCATTTCGAGCTGATCTATGAGCCTATCTGCGATTCTCTATTCTAACTAAGAGTGACCAAAGTTCTGAGTTATAACTTAGCTCAGCTCATTTCGTATAACTCTATTCACAACATTTACTGTTGAAACGCGTAAGAACCAAAGGGTAAAAATGGTGAAAAAAGTTATGGAAGTTGTGACTGTGAAAAATATTTTATTTAAAAAAAGTGACTGAATCGGTGTTTTCTTATCATACTAAACAGCACAATAACAAGCAAAATAATAGTGTTTTCCGGAAAACAATTCTAAAAATCAAAATCAATTTTTTTCTAAATTATCTTTAGAGCTATGGATTAGTTAATAAACAGTACAGTAGAGCGTCGTTTATCCGAATCAATTGGGGACTGGGGTGGTTCGGATAACTTATTTTTCGGATAACGAATCATGTACAAAAAAATATATTAATTTATCCCATGTTGAAATTTCTCTCCGTTGCGTGTCGCTTCGCGTTGAATTTTCGTCGATGTTAAGCCTAACGAAGACTATTGTATCGTTAAAAATTATTTTTTTATTTTGTACAAACAAAATAAATTTATTGAAAAATATAAAAACAATAAAAAATTATACTTCAGATGTTAATTTAGTATCAAAAACGTAAAATATTTGAGTAGCCC